TGGCGTTTGTCAGGGGTGCAGGGGCCGATCCGAAGGATGCGTTTTGAGAGGCGGGAGAGCTAGAGGGGCACTTCGCCAGGTGGGCGGGGATGGGCACGCTGCAGAGGATGCTGTCCAAACGCTGGGGCAAACCCTCACGGACCGTCTAGGCGAGCTTCCTTTGGAATGTTCGTCTGACCTTGGCGCAGGAGGGGCAGGAGGAGGAGGAGGAGGACGAGGAGGAGGACGAGGAGGAGGACGAGGAGGAGGAGGAGGAGGCTCAGACGATGCGATTGTTTCGACCAAAGTCGGTGCAACGCAGAGGAGGAGGAGGAGGAGGAGGAGGAGGAGGAGGAGGAGGAGGAGGATGAGGAGGAGGAGGAGGGGCAGGAGGGGCAGGAGGGGCAGCAGGAGGGGCAGCAGGAGGGGCAGCAGGAGGGGCAGCAGGAGGGAGAGGCAGGAGGGGCAGGAAGGGGCAGCAGGAGGAGGAGGAGGAGGAGGAGGAGGAGGAGGAGGAGGAGGAGGAGGAGGAGGTGGTGGTGGTGGAGAAAACCACTGCCGCCCGAGGGATGGGCCTGGCCCGGTCGTGGTAGCTCACGGCGGGCTGGTGCCCCTTCGTATTTGCAGCTGCGCGGGGCCAGCACCTGTACCTGGCGAGGCCGCCCCCGCTGACCGCGCGGAGCTGGCCGGGCGCCGCTGGCCTCGTCCCGCCTCCCTCCCCCCCCCCCACCCCCCAGAGGACCTAGCGCAGAGGATTCTTCGACAACATTGTTTTTTCTTTGGGGGGCAAATCACTTCTGCAGCCGATCCCCTGCTCGACTTTGGGAGGCTCCCGGCCCTCTGGGCGGAGAGGCTTCGTGCCCTCTCCGCAGGATGAGCAGGAGGAGCATGATGATGCTCATGCTGATGCTGCTGATGATAATGGTGATGACGATGATGATACTGATGATGCTGATGATGATGCTGGTGATGAAGCTGATGATGCTGCTGCTGATGATTATGACGATGATGCTGCTGGTGATGATGATGCTGATTATGGTGATGATGGTGATGCTGATAATGCTGCTGCTGCGGATGATGAGGATGATGATGATGGTGGTGATGATGGTGGTGGTGATGCTGATGATGATTATGATCATGATGATGCTGATGCTGATTAGTATGCTGATGATGCAGATGATGATTATGATTATGATGCTGATGATGATGATGATGATGATGCTGATGATGATGATGATGATGTTGCTGATGGTGATGCTGATGATGCTGATGCTGATGATGATGTTGCGGCTGATGCTGAGGCTGATGATGCTGATGCTGAGGCTGATGCTGCTGATCATAATGATGATGACGATGATGATACTGATGATGCTGATAATGATGAGGATGATGCTGATGATGCTGATGATGATGATGATGATGATGCTGATGTGGTTGCTGATGCTGATGCTGAGGCTGATGATGCTGATGCTGATGCTGCTGCTGATGATGATGACGATGATTGTGATGCTGATGATGCTGATGATGATCATGAGGAGGAGGAGCAGGAGGCGGAGTGGGGGAGGAGGGGTAGGAGGAGGAGGAGGAGGAGGAGTCACAGGAGCCTGAGGGATCAGAAGAAGACCAATCACAATAGGGAGACGATAACTAAGAATACAGAAACGAGTAGTACGAATACGAGGACGAGTAATAAGACCAATGCTGATACTATGAATAATGTCAATCTTACGGTTAAGAATAATCATCACAAACAAAGGAACAGTACAAATAAGCATAAGAAGACGACCACGAATCACACGAATCGTATTATTGAGAAGGACTGATAATACTAATGATGCTAATATTACGACTGCGAGCGCTAATCTTGATAAAATTAAGAAGACTGACAATACGAGTCATACAAATACTCCAGCTAAACAGCGTAGTATTACTCAGGGCAGTACTCACTCGACGCGAAGATCCCCACGTGTGCATCTCATAGTGATGGCATGCTTCGGTCGAAGACATTGTCCTTCTTAGTATCTCCATCGCGACAGAGGTCGCCCGCGTGGTTGAGTAAGGCCTTCAACAACCCGCAAGGCATCGTGATCACAACTTTCTCCCCATGTTAATCAAAATGCGCATAACGAATTTCTGTAACACTGTCAAGTATGCGCATATCGAATTTCAAGTCCCTTCGGGATAACACTGTCGTATGCGCTCCCATTGCGCGCTAAGACCCATCTTGCCACGTTTTACCACAACTTTCTCCATTCCATGCTCTCCCAATGAATTTTCGTATCGTTTCAGCTCTGGCTCGGTTTGCTTTGGCAGCGTAGTGTCAGCAACTCAGATGTGAGCCCGCTGTGGCTGGATCTGTTGTCGCCGCAACAGAAATTCCAACGTTTTCTAGCATAGAACATCAGGGCGGCCAATCGATGGAACCACAATCTTATAATCATGGCCTCCTCGCCCAACGTAGGATTCAAGAGTTCTCATGGCGGCAATTCGATCACAATGGCGACTGACTAAAAACAGGGCGGTGATACGGGGAGGGGAAGAGGAGGGCAATGAGGAAGAAGCCGAGGATGACGACGTGGAGGCAACGGAACAGATAAGGGAGGATGGTAGAAAACGGAGCAAGTATGGCTGAGCACGTGTTCAAAGAAATACGAGAGCACTAGCGCATGCTGGAGGAGAACGAAGAAGAGATTGCGAAATTTGATCGCAGAGGAATTCGGCCCTGAAATGTCCGCAAGACGAACGTTCCAAACATGGCAGGGAAACATCAGCGAATTGAGGGAATTGGCAACAGTCTTTGAGGGAATTTACGATCCCGCCAGTCTTTGAGCGAATTGGCAACAGCGTCGTAGACGAGCCGATCCGGCAACATTTTGTCTTACACGCTTGCCGTAATGGAAGTGGCGCAGTTTCGAGGAAAAGTGGTAAGTTCCACTCTTTCGAACCCCGTGAGGCGGTCCGTCTCATGGCGCCGCATGGGTTGTGGCGGACAATCAGACAGACATTATCTAATCGAGCGCTGGTCCTGCTGGTTCTGGGCGGGAGGGGCCGCGACCCACTGGAGCACCAAGATTTTCCCAGATGGCTCCAAAGGGGGTTCAAAAGAAGGTGCTTGAAAATTGCACTCGAGATCAGCGGATAAGTCAAGATGCCTCACCACGGTTTTCAATATATTCCAAGGGTCCGAAGAACCGACCCCTGACAGCTGCCAGTGGCCACCAAGTTTCGCAGCGAGGCCCCAAGAGGCAGTAATCCTTCAAACGCGAGGCAGGTGTGTAGACAACATGTTGCAAGTTCGCTGTGTGTTTCTGTCTGTAGGTTTATATTTTTTTGTATGCGTGCGGGATCGTCAGATGTGTAAAAACTCTTCCACCTCCTTCGAAAAATAACGGAGCCTCCAAATGACTCTCCAGAATGCCTTAAGAGGCCCGAGGCTAGAAGGAACTCCCAAAAACCTGGGAAAGCCAACGACGCGTGTGTTGTGTGTGTGTGTGTGTGTGTGTGTGTGTTCTGTGTTGTGGGCGCGTGTGGTGCGTGCGTGTGTGTGTATATATGTTGTAGGTCGGGGATCATGTTTGGGAGGTTGTCCCAAACGAAGCTGCAGTTTTCTAAGAAACGTGCGCGCAATCAAACTGATTTTCATTGACACGTCCCCCATCGTGCCTTGGCACGTAAAAGGTGGAAGAATGCCAAGTGCTGTCTGAGAGGTTTCTGTAGTCTTTTTGAAAGACTCCCCAGCATCCGGCCAGCATGAAGGTGCGTGCGTGCATCGCTATTATTACCGGGGAGCTCCTGGGCGGCCATGGCGTGTTTCTGATGGCCAAAGAAGCCCACTCAGGGCGTCAAGGTAGCCGAATGTACTGTTAAGACGGCCCAAGATGCCTCCAGGGCGGCCCAAGATGGTCTCCAGACAGCCCAAGAGGCCTCGAAGACGTCCCAAGAATCCTCCAAGAGCCCTCCCAAGAGGGCCCCAAGAGGCAAAATTCATTGATCTCTCAAAGGTGTTTGAAGGGTGCCGCTTGGTGCGGGTGTCTCCAAGCAACTTGGAATGATCTTGAGCAGTCTTGGAGCCTTCTGGGGAGTCTCTTGAAGCCTCAAGGGGGTCTCTTTGGGGCTTCCGGGAGCCAAGACAGGAAGTTCTGTGAAACAGCATCTCAAAGCTCGACGATCCCGTCTGCAATGCATGGCCACTGGAGGCCTTACGAGAGCTGCTGGCAGAAGTTACCCCTGCGAGCTGAATGATGGGCATCGGGCGCCTCCACGCCTCCACGCCTCCACGCCTACTAGTACTACTACTGCTACTACTACTAGTACTACTACTACTACTACTACTACTACTACTACTACTACTACTACTACTACTACTACTACTACTACTACTACTACTACTACTACTACTACTACTACTACTACTACTACTACTACTACTACTACTACTACTACTACTACTACTACTACTACTACTACTACTACTACTACTACTACTACTACTACTACTACTACTACTACTACTACTTAGGAACGCCGTGCCCGTCCGGGCCCCACGCCGTGCCCGTCCGGGTCCCACGCCGTACGCCGTGCCCGTCCGGGTCCCATGCCGTACGCCGTGCCCGCCCGGGCCCCACGCCCCACGCCGTGCCCATCCGGGTCCCACGCCCCACGCCGTGCCCGCCCGGGTCCGCGCTTGCGCGCCTCAGGAATCCCTGAAGTGTATAAGCGCCTAGGAATCCTTAGGGAATCCTCAGGGAATCCTGAAGGAATGCTAGCGAATCCGAAGGGAAACCTAAGGAAACCTAGCGAATCCGAAGGAATCCTAAGGAATCCCAAGGAATCCTACCGAATCCTCAGCGAATCCTAATGGAATCCTAGGGAATCCTTGCGCATACCGCACGCCGTTCCCGTCCGGGTTCGCGCATGCGCGCCTCAGGAATCCCTGAAGCGTATAAGCGCCTAGGAATCCTGAGGGAATCCTAAGGGAATCCTGAAGGAACGCTAGCGAATCCGAAGGGAATCCTACGGAA